TTGATTCTGACCAACAGGGAGGAAACGGTAACTGGAGTAGAAATAATGGAAACCTTGGGGTGGGAGTATAGAGATAAAATGACCATGCCATTTTGGGATTCAGAATAGAGAAAAAGAAGAAAGCTAGTGATAGCGTGACCTGAACCCTAGACTTGGGAAGAATCAACTTCAAAGGGTTCAGAGAAAGCACAGGTAGAATTCCTAGGTCTAAAATTGTACTTGGTCCCAGAGGGAGGGGACAGTCTTAAGAATTAAATCCTGAATACACAAACAGAAATAATTCCAATGAGGAAAAAACAATCTTAAGAAATTGTCGTGGTGCATGGGGAATTTACTGACCAACTTACATTTTAAAAAGACAAACAAGAAAAATAGAAACAAAATAAGAAACAGAAAATAAATATAAAAAAGAGCAAGGTTCTGTAAAAAAAGGTCAGAAATGCTTATGCTCAGAATGGACTGAGACTAGTAAGGACAACCATTCATAACCTTTGACCCAGCAATACCCCTACTAGGTCTATACCCCAAAGAGATCAAAGGAAAAGGAAGAGAGCTCATATGTACAAAAATATTTATAGCAGTTCTTTTTGTGGTGGCAAAGACTTGGAAACCGAGGGGATGCCCATAAGTTTTGGAATGGCTGAACCAGTTATGGTATATGATTGTGATGGAATACTATTGTGCTACAAGAAATGATGAGTGAGATGCTTTCAGAAAAACCTGGGAAGACTTACATAAACTGATGCAAAGTAAAGTGAACAGAACCAAGAGAACATTGTACACAGTAACAGCAATACTGTATAACGATCAAGTATGAAAGACTTAGTTACTCTGATCAAGACAACAATCTAAGAAAATTCCAAAGGATCTATGATGGAAAATTCTATCCATCTCCATAGAGAAAACTGATGGACGATGAATGCATATTGAAGCATATTTTTTTCACTCTATTTTTTGTGCTTTCTCAGTAGAACTAATGTGGAAATATGTTTTACATAACTTCATATGAATAATGATGGGTATTGTATTTCTTACTTTCTCAATGTTTGGGGGAGGGAGTGGAGAGAGAGAGAGAGAGAGAGAGAGAGAGAGAGAGAGAGAGAGAGAGAGAGAGAGAGAGAGAATTTGGAACTAATATTTTGAGTCACACAGCTAGTGAGTGTTATGTGTCTGAGGCTGGATTTGAACTCAGGTCCTCCTGACTCCAAGGCCAGTGCTCTATCCACTGTGCCACCTAGCTGCCCCCCCAAAAAATAAAAATTTTAAAAAGAAATAAAAAAAAACAAATTAAAGCCCTTTTCAACATGGCTCCAATCTAATTTTCCAGGTTTATTATATATTACTCCCTATCCTATATCCTACAGTCCAGTCAAATTGGCCTTTTAACTGCTTCTCACACTCAATATTTCATCTCCCATCACATCACCTCCATGCCTGGAATATACTCCTTCCCACTTCTGCCTCTTAGAGTCCTAGGTTTTCTTAAAAACTCAGTGTCGCCTCATAAATAGAGACTTTCCTGATCCTGCCAGCTGCTAGTTTCTCCTCTGCCTGAGAGCTTACTTAATTTTATGTATATTTATATGTATGTGTGCACTTTGTTGTCCCAGACAGAATGTAAACTTCTTGAGGGTAGCTACTGTTTCATTTTTGTCTTTGAAACGCCAGCATTAAGCACAGTGCCTGGCATTTAATAAATGCTTATTGATTGATGTTGAAGATGGAACTTTATAGAGAGAAATGTAAAGTCTCACAAGGGCTAACAAAATCAACTTTAGAAGTACAATATGGCAGAAATGGGATGAGACAGCTGAAAAAGATGAGGATTTTGTAGACTCCAAGCTTCAATGTGAGTCACCAGTGTGATACTGAAGGTGAAGAACCTAGCTGGATCTTAAGCTGCATTGAGAAGCATATAGTGTTCAGAAAGAAGGTACCAGTCTGGCTGTCTAGAATATCATGTTCAAGTGTGGACATGGGACATTGACAAGTTGGAGAGTGTCCAGAGAAGGGCAATCAGGAGAATGAGGGAACTGGACGGCATTTCTTAGAAAGAACAGTTGGAGGAAGTAGGAATGGTTAGCCTACAAAAGAGATCTATGGGGAGCATGAGAGTTGTCTTCAAGTATTTAAAATGTTGTCATGGGAAAGAGGGATTCGATTTGTTATATTTGGCCCCAAAAAGCAGACTTTGGAGCATTGGAGGGGTGGAGGGTGGGGTTGGGGGGGGCTGTAGAGAGGCGTATTTCTGTTCAGTGTAAGGGAAAACTTTGTATCCAAAAAGGAAACAGGCTCCCTTGAGAGGCAGTGATTTCTCCTTCACTGGAGAAAGGTGTTGATGCTTCTTCCCCATGTCCATTAAATTATATTTACTTTGTATATTTTTAAATATGTTTATATGTACACATGCTATTTCCCCTGAAGAAATGTAAATTCCTTGAGGGAGGGTAAAGACTGTTTCACTTTTGTCTTTGTATCCCCAACACTTAGCACAGTGTCTGGTACCTGGTAGATCTTTAACAAATGTGTGTCGAATAATTGACGGATTGGTTTGCAAAGGTATTCAGTGGCCCTTCAAGAACTTTCCTTTCCACTCTAAGTAGTTTGCCCTAGGCCCCACACCTGGGAAGTGTCCAAAGCAGCTCCAGACCCTCCTTCCTCTATATCCTACCATGTCTGTAGGAGGAACTCCAGGAACAGAGTAGACTTTCATTTACAGAGGCAGCATAGTACAACAGTGGTTAAGTACATAACCTGGAGCCAGGAAGGACCTACATTCCTATCTTTTCTCTGGCATTTACTAGCTGTGTGGCCATGGGCAAGTCACTGAGCCTTGGTTTACTCACCTCTAAAATGAACATAATCATACCGACAAGATAGTTACACCTTATGGGGTTGTGGAATCAAGTCAAATACTCATAGAATCATAGATCTAGACTGGAAGGGAAGGGACTTCACAGGACAATCCCTCCATCTTACAGATGAGGAAACTCAGAGCCCAGAGAGGTCAACGTATATCAAGGCTTTTCGAACTTATGTAAATATCAGTGGTTATCTAAATAGCAGTCATTATTATCCATAGAAAAGTGATCCAGGTTGGATTTTTAATTCCAGGCTGGCTTGCTCTCAATGTCTTTGCAAAGGAGTGCCAGGGAGTTTTTTTTTTAATAGCCTAAGAAAATTGAATTTAGGAAGATTAAAAAAAAAACGAAATGCAACAAAATGCAATCAAAGTCCAACTGAAATGTGTTTTAGATTGTTCATTATTTCCAATGGACTATGCCCCTTCATGAGTGTGAATAATGGAGAGTAGACTCAATTCCTGTTAAAAAAAAACAACAAAACATTAAAATCCCACTTTGGTTTATCAGTCAGTCCCTCAGGGATTCCTCAAATACTGACTAATAGCTCAATTGGGAGCTTTGTCACCTTCCTCTCCCCTATCACTACCTCCCTTCTGCTCCCATCATTCCTCTTCCCCCTCCTCTGAAGCAAAGCTACTTTGTCTTGCCCTGCAGCAACATCCCTCCCCATCCGCCTCCAAGCCCGACTCCCACACCCGCCCCAGCCTGCCGGATGAGCCCAGTGCATTTCAAATTGGCAAGGTTCGGAGTCGCTGTGCCAAAGTTCATAGAGCAGGAAGGAAATGGAGACCAGACGGGGAGCAAGCCGGTGAGAGTGGGGGGGAGCAGGAGCTACCCTGCAACTCAGCTCCTGGGCTTCCCCCCAAACGAACCAAACCCTTGGCACTCCCTCCCTTTCTGATCCCTGACACCCTAGACACGCAGTTTCTGGGTTAGCCAAGTGGAGCTGGTGCTGCCCCTATTTCTTCCTGTTTGGGAAAGAATTGTATATGATGACAGGGATGAGGGCCCTTAGAGATCATCAGTAGTTCAACATCTTCATTTTACAGAGAGGGAAACTGAGGCCCAGAAAGGGCAAAGTGACTTTTACCTTTTCAAGTCACACAAGTAGAGGGTAGCAGAACTGGGAATAGCTCAGGTTTAATTTAGGTCTCCTGACACATGCTCCAATGATCTTGCAGTGGGGGAAGGAGTCAGGGAAGCCATAGTGAGAGATCTCAAAACCCCTTTCCTCACCCTAGCCCTGGCAGAAGCCATCTGGGGCCAAATAGAAGAGGAGGCAATAGAATTGCCCCTGTTGCAGTCTGGGATGGTGGGAACCAGGGAGGGGTCATGGACTGAGACATACTCCTCAAAAACAGGAGTGAGAAGTGAAGAAGGAGGGTGAGGCGGAGGGGTAGAGAGGATCGTGGTATTTAGTGCCGGAAGGAACTTTAGAGTTCCTCCTCCCTCATCTTAACATTCAGGAACAATGCCAAGGTGGCGAAATAATGTGCCCAAAGTCAGCAAGAGTCAGAATTTGAACGCAAGTCCTTTAGCTGCGAATCCAGTGATATCTCTGCTCCTTGAAGCAGCTAGTTCTGGAAAAGCACTCTGTATCCTGGAGCCTGAGACTGAACCAAGTTAAATATTAACAGCCCCAGACAGAAGGAGAGAAAAGTTAAAGAAGTTATAGCTTTTGGAACCTCATTGGGAGGGGTAAGATGGAAAGAGGGGCCTGAGATGGAGGCGGGGAAGGGGATACTTTGCTCTGGGCACTGGCCAGAGTAAAGAGCACGGAGGCTACCTACCTAGCTGCGTTTGCTGTGTGACCTTGAACGTTACTGAACTTCTCTGGACCCTAGTGTTCTGTTCCTTTAATGGTTTATCTGTGTGTGGTGTGCACAAATCACATGTATGAAATGTACAATGCTCCCTCCTTGAATCTGGGTGTTGTACTTAGAGAAAGGAGACATTTGGTTCAAGGGCTACTCAGCTGGTGTCTGAAGGCATATGGTGGCACAGCCTCTATACTGGTGGCATTGGCCCGTAGCGAGAGGGTCCTGACTCACACAGATCACGTGTGCCTATTTGGGGGAGGGGACTCCTATGCATCTCAGCCAGGCTGGGGCAGCCACATTCCACTGGCAGGGCCAACCCTTGTGTTCCATTACATTGCCATTCTTCTCACGTTCTTGGCTTTTGGCTAATTGCCAACATACTTGGGCCTTGGGAGGTACTTTGGCCCAACAAAGTAGGGAAGCATAGAGAATACCTCGGTGTCCTCTATCTCGTCCACTCACTGATAACTAAATTGTGAGCATCCCCAGTGCTGTCGTTATCATTGACAATAATAATGATTTCAACCATCAAATGGAGAGCTCTTTTTTGCCCCATCAAACTTCAGATCCAGGTAAGAGGGGAAAACCTGCTTTAGTTTCTTTTCCGAGGTGAGGTGAAGAGTGGGGCAACAGTCTGTCTCCTTGGTGAAGGTTTTCCCCACCTCTTTAGACCATAAAAAGCAGTTAACTGCCTGTAGGGCAAAGATGGGGGTCAGAGAGGCAGAAAGTTCAAAAATGGGCTAGGAAACACACAAACGGGTGACCGAATCTGGCGTCAGGTGCCTTTGATCTAAAATTGATGACAAGGACTCCAGAGGAATAAGGACCTGATCGGGACACCAGGTTTCCTTTCGGGAATGTCAACCGGGAAACCCTCAATTTGCTGGGAGAGAAATAGCCTTTGCCTTCTGGGAGTTCTCAGTCTGATGGGGAGAGAGCCTTTCCTTGCTGGAAGCTCCCAATCTAATTGGAGAAACTAACAACATACTTAGAAAGAGCAGACCACAGAATAAATAAACATTAAAAACTCAATATACCGGTGAGAACAAATGGATATAAAAGTTGGCTTTGAGTTCCAGGGAAACTGAATGTCGACCTAGTCATTCAGAACCAATTCAACTTTTTTGTTTTTGTTTTTGTCAAAGTATGTTTTAAATGCACTGAGGGAGGGACTTGGAAGGGGGGTAGGGATGTTGTCTACTATTTAAAGGAATCCTGCATTGAAACTTTTTCTAAAATGAATTGGACCAGGAGGTAGGTGATCTGAATTATAGCTCTGGCTCGGTCACTCATACATGGCCTTGGGCAGGTCATTTAACAGCTCACTTTTCTCGTCTAGATGACCTGGACAGCCTCTTTGGCTCCAGCCATTCTCTGGCTCTTTTGCAATGAAAGTAACCCTTGTCGAATTAGTGCTAACATTCTGGTGTGGGGTTTTCTTACAGCAAGGGACACTTGTAGTGTAAAATGACATCCTGATTACTAAAAGGTCATAGGAAGAGTATGATCAAAGTCAAATGGGCTACCTATTGCCCACAGAAGAAAGTACAGAGACAGACTTATAGAATCATCAAATATCAAGGGACCTCAGCAGGGTCTGTCTGGCATTTGAAAACAGTCACCCTCTGCCATACAGTATTAGATAAATAGCCATCCAGCATTGGTTTAAAGACTTTTGGTTTTTCCCTTTTGTTCTGATTCTTCTTTACAACATGACTAATATTTTTATATTTTTATGTAAATATTTTAAAATATGATTGCACATGTATAGCCTACATCAGATTGCTTGCTGACTTGGAGACAGTGGAGGGGAGGGAAGGAGGTAGAGAGAAAAAAAATTGGAACTCAAAATCTTATAGAAGTGAATGTTGAGGGGGCAACTAGGTGGTGCAGTGGATAGAGCACCGGCCTTGAATTCAGGAAGACCTGAGTTCAAATCCAGCCTCAGACACATAACACTTAACTAGCCATTGCCTAGCCAAAAAAAAAAAAAAGAGGCGAATGTTGAAAACTAAAAAATAAATATGTATTTTACAAAAAGACTTTTGGTGACAGGGAACTCACTACCCCATTGAGGCAGTCCATTTCACCTTTACACATAGCTCTAATCGTTCAAAAGTTTTCCTTCCCTTTGTCTCTGTTACTTCCCCCATGGCTCCTGATTCTTGCCTCTGGGGCCCAAGCAGTCAGTCAGTCAGCAAGCATTTATTAAGTACCTACCATGTACGCGTTGAGAGCTGTGTTAAGTGCTGGGGTTACAAAGAAAGGCAAAAGACATTTCTGTCACCCAAGGAGCTCCCAGTCTAATGGAGGAGATAACATGTAAGCAGCTATCTACAAACAAGGCATAGAGAGAATAAACTGGAAATAATCAACAGAGGGAAGGCGCTGGCATTAAAGGGAATTGGGAAAGGCTTCAGGTAGAAAGTGAGATTTTAGAGAGGACTTGAAGGAAGCCAGGAGGCAGAGAAGAGAAGGCGGAGGATCTCAGGCATGGAGACACCAGGGAAAATGGTTGGGGTCTGGAGGGGGAGAGTCTCGTTTGAAGAACAGCAAAGAGGCTCAGGTCACTAGATCACAGAGTACATAGGGTGGAGTTAGGGGTCAGACAACTTTTGAGGTAGGAGGGGGGTCAGATTATGAAGGGATTTGAATGTCAGAGGATTTTATATTTGACCCTAGAAGTACTATGGAGTCACTGGAATTTACTGAGGGGGCTGGGAGTAGGGAGGAGAGCAACATGGTCAGACCCATGCTTGAGGAAGATCAATTTGGCAGTTGAATAAGGATGGAATGGAGTGTGGAGAGACTTGAGGCAGAGAGTCCGAGCAGCAGGCTATTGTGATAGTCTGGGGCTGAGGTGACGAGACCCTGCACTAGACTGGTGGCAGTGTCAGAGAAGTGAAGGGGACATATACCCTATACAAAAGATGTCATGAAGGTAGAAATGGGTAGAAATGACAGGTCCTGGGAGTGATAGAGAGTGAAGAGTCCAGGATGTTTGCAAGCCTGGGTAACTGGGAGTGCCGTGGTGTATTTGACAGCAATAGTAACGTTGTTCTGGGGAAAAGATCACGAGTCATTTTGGATATGTTGAGTTGAAGAGGTCTATGAGATGACCCAATTCAAGATGTCCAATAGGAAGGTTGGAGATATAAGATTTAAGGTCAGGAAAAGGTTTAAAACTGGATAAGGAGACCTGGGAATCATCAGTATAGAGATAATCGCTGAATCCATGGGAGTTGATGAGATCACCAAGCGAAAAAGGAGAAAGAAGAAAGCCCAAGACCGAGCCGTGGGGGACACCCATTGTTAGTGGACAGAACTTGGATGAAAATCCAGCAAAGGAAACTGAGAAGGCAAAGGGGAAGTGGGATAGAGCAATGTCATGAAAACCTAGAGAGAAGTGAATATCAAAGAGAAAACACTGATTGACAGGGTCAAAGGCTACAGGAAGGGAGGAACAGGACAAAACAAGAAGGATGAACACCGAAAAAAGGCATGAGGTGAGGACGAAAAATATCTCATTGCCTCTTTCATATTAATAGGCTCCTTCCCTCAAGTTTCTCTTTAGGCTAAGCACTTCAATCCATCATCAGCCATTAAGATCTGACTATAAATCATGGCATTAAGCCCTAGGGCTACAAAGACAAAAGTGAACAAATTTCTATTCTCTGGCCCTTATTTTCTAATGCAGAGATAATATGCCTATAATATGAATACTATATAATTATGGGAGGGGGGTCCAGTGAGACCCATTGAGGGAGGAAAAGCTAGAAAAGACTCCATGTGGAAGAAGGAGCTGAATGTTGAAGGAAATCAGGATTTCCAAGAAACTGAGGCGAGCAAAGAATGTGTTCCAGGCATGAGAGACTTCCAGGACAAAAGCATGGAGATGAGATATGGAGCGTTCCACGTACAGAACATGGAGATGGCTAGTGCGGCTGGATCACATAGTGCATGGAGGGGGGTGATGTGTAAGAAACCTGGAAATGTAGGAAAGGGCCAGGTTGTAAATGTCCATTGGAGTTTTGTATTTGATCCTAGCGGCAACAGGGAGCCAAGGTAATTTATCAAGCAAGGAGTGTGACGTGATCAGACTTGGTCTTTAGGAAAACCAATTTTGCAATTGTGTGGAGTATGCATTGGAATGCAGAGAGACTTGAGGCAAGGGAAACCAAATAAATAGGAGTCTAGTGCAGTAGCCCAGATGAGAGATGATGAGGGTCTGTACTAAGGGCAGTGTGAATCAATCAATAAACATTTATTATGCACCTACTATGTGCTAAGTGCTGGGGAAACAAAAGTAGTCAAAAGCTGGTCCTTGCCTTTAAGAGGTTGGGAGGATGGAACACATGTGAGAAATGTTGTAAGGCAGAAATAAAATTTGGTGACTGATTATGTGGGATGGGTGAGAATGACAAGTTGAGAATGACACTGAGGTTTTGAACCTGGGTGACTCTGAAAGATGGACAGGAATAGGGATGTGTGGAAGAGGAGTGGGTTTTGGTGTAAAATGTGATGAGCTCTTTTAGATGTGTGGAAGCTTCAGATGCCTATGGAGTATCCAGTTGGAAATATCCAATAAGTAATTGTTGATATGGGACCAGAGCTCAGGATATGGGACTAGATTTAGAGATCTGAGAGTTATCTTCATATGGTATGAATTCAAGGCCTTGATGCAAGAAAATCATGAAAAATGAGTCGAAAGCTTGGTAAAGGAAATGAACTCAAGGCCCTTATGTGCCCTGGTCCCTCTTCTCTGGGAACTCTCAATGTTCTTCCAAAATGAACACAATATTCCAGATGTGATCTGGACAGAATACAGTGGGATGATCATGACCTCATTCCTAGATATTGCATCTCAAGGCAGTCTACAATCACATCATCTTTCCAACCATAGAGGGACAGTGCAATGCAGCGGACAGGACACTGAACTTGGAGGCGTAAGTTTTGGTACTGTTGTTTGCATCAGACTCTTTGTGACCCCATGTGGGGTTTCCTCTACAGATACTGGAATGCTTTGCTATTTCCTTCTCCAGTTCATTTTACAGATGAGGAACCTGAGGCAAACAGGGTTGAGTGACTTGCCCAGGGTCACACAGCTAGTGTCTGAGGTCAAATTTGAATTCAGGTCTTCCTGATTCCATGCCTAACACTGTGCTACTTAGGCAGGAAAAGTTGGGTACAAATCCCACCTCAGATCCTAATAGCTGTATGACTCTGACTAAGGCATTTAACCTCTCTGTGCCTCAATTTCCCCATTTGTGAAATGAAGAGGTTGGACTTACTGGCCTTGAAAATCCCTTACAACTTTTGATCTATAATCTGTGTGTATTAGTGACTCCATCGGAAGTTACAACCCCCTAACTTCCCAGATCTTTTCTTTTTCCCAGAAGAAATGCTGTAGAGCCTTGTCCTCCTCATCATGTATTTGGGAAGTTAATTTTTTTTTGAACTCAGGTGTAACACTTGAAGTGGGTGAGAAGAAACTTGACTGCTATGGAAGGCTGGAGTATTGAAGAATGTGACACAGAGAAGAAAGCCCGCCAAACACCTGATAAGTGCCTTATTCCAGCATTCAGAGCCCTTTTCAATTTGGGGCCGACCTTCCTAGACTTCTTTCCTGTTATTTCCTTTCGCAGATTTCCCATATCTCTCATTCCAGTCAAATTGGACTCCTCTCTCTTAGTTCCCATCCTATTCTCTTTGGCCTCCATGTTTTTCCTCATCCCCCTTTACCCCTTCCAGGCCTGGAATGGACATCTCTGCCATCTTCCTTTCCAGCAAGGCCGATTTAGCAGCTCCTTCCTGCATGAAGTCTTCCCTGATGTCCCAATGAAACTGATTTTCCTCGTTTTAAATTTCTTCTAAGTCTTTGCCTGGATTTCTCTTTTGCACTTGTCTCATGTATTATAGTAATCTGTGTATTTGTCTTTGCAGTTAGAGTGTAAGCTCCTTGAGACCAGGGCCTGAGTCCTATTTATCTTTGCCATCCAGCCCCTAGCCCAGTTGCTTACATCTATCAGTCTGTTCAGTGAGTGAATGAGTGAAGAGGCTGGTGTAGACGGATTGGAGAAAGCTTGAAAGACGCTGTACCTCCTCTCTCACCCTAGACACATTCTTTTCTTCTGTCTCTGTCTCTGTCTCACACACACACACACATGCGTGCGCACACACACACACACACACAAACACACTGTCTTTTCTTTCTATTCCCATCTCAGAGAATCAGGGACCAGCCTGGGGCCCCAGCTAGGCCAGGCCTTTGGGTGGATACACCCAGTCCTCAGGCAGAGGCCCAGGAAAGGAGGCCCTCCAAAGAAGCACAATGGAAATAATGATAGATTAGGAGCCAGAAGACTTCCTTCAAACCCCAGCTCTGACACTTACAACCTTGTGTGACTTTAGGCAGATCTATGAATATGAGTCTCAGTTTCCTCATTTGTAAAGTGAGAGACTTGGAGGAAATGGACTTCAAGGACCCTTCCACCTCTAAAGCTACAATCCTAGGCTTATCTTCTCCCACTAACCTCTCATCCTCCAGAGCCCTGGTTCTCAGAGATCTGTTATCTCCTTTTCCGGGGATATTGGCATTCCAAAGTGAGACTTTTCAAGACCTCCTAGCCTTTCTGGCCCAAAAGAATGACTCTCCCACAGTGAAATTTCATGTACTGTAACATCTCATGGGGAAGCCTTTTTTCTTTCGTAGAGTAAGGGGAGAAGGCTACTGGACACTGTCAGTCCAGAGGGCCTCCCCATCTGACCAGCCCTGGGAGCTTTGTCCCTTCATCTTGGCGGGGGCCCTGTTTGTTTTCCAGGTAACCAAGGGCAAGAGCTCATTCTCACATTTTGACTTGGGGTGGCTGGGAAGAGATCCAGAATGCAAACCCTCCACTATTGCTGGGGATCCAGGGGGCCTCATGTCCCAGCAGGAAGCCCTGAAGCCACACATAATTTCCTTTCCAGCATGGGTCAGAGCTCTGGCTGTGTGTCTGTATGTGTGTGTGTGTGTGTGTGTGTGTGTGTGTGTGTGTGTGTGTGTGTGTGTGTGTGTTTAGTAAGCACCTTACTCTATGCAAAATAATAGTGGACATTTATTTCTATGGTATATTAAATTTTGTGAACTGTTTTGCAGATACCTCCTTTGGCTTTTGCAGCCACTCTGAGGTAGGGAAAACGAGTGTTATTATTTCCATTTTTCAGATAAGAAGACTGAGGCTTTTGCAAGCTCCAGAGTAGCTGAGGGAGGATCTGTATGCAGGTCTTTTTGGCCCCAAGGTCAGCGCTCTCTATCTATTATACCACACTGCCTCTAATATCTACTGATACCCCCTGCCTCCAATTTTAGTCTAATTATATACGCACACACAGGAGGCAGCTAGGTGACTCAGCGGATAGAGTGGATTCTGGTTGGGCCTGGAATCAGGAACACCTGAGTTTAAATCAGCTCTCAGACATTTACTAGCTGTGTGACCCTGGGCAAGTCACTTAACCTCTGTTTGCCTTAATCCATTGGAGAAGGAAATGGCAAACCACTTGAGTATCTTTACCAAAAAAACCTCATGGACCGTATTGGTCTGTGGGGTCATCATGAAGAGTCGGACATAGCTGAACAACAACAAATAGCAACATACATCCATACATCCACATGTATACATATGTGTAGGTATATATATATATACACACACACACACACACACACACACACGCACACACACATATATATACATACACACACACATCTATACATATATATATATATATATATATATATATATATATATATATATATATATACATATATATATATATATATATATATATATATATATATGCATTGTAAGTTTAAGGGATCCAGTTCTCCACTGTAATAACAACAGCATAGACCTAGATTCTGGTTCTGCCTCTGGCTCTAAGTAGGCAGGCAATGCCCTACATCTTTAGGTCTCAGTTTCCTCACTTGTTATAATGAGGTGATTGGATGAGGTCATCCTCAAGGTCCCTTTCGACTCTAAAATCTTGATTCCTATCTGTGAGCCAGTCCCTTGAAGCTTTCTCCTTCCCACTAATCAGCTGATCCCAGGAGGCTGACCTAAGCTTATGTTTTTGAAATGTAAGGTACCTGAAGTGTGTGTCCTGTCTGGTAGATTGTATGTTCCTGATTACATTGCAGGACAATTTTTTTTAAATTACTAGCAATAGCTAACATTTACATAGCACCTTTGGGTGTGCAAAGAACTTTACAAATATTTTTTCATTTTGTCCTCACAACAACCTTGGGAGGCAGGCGCTATTATTACCAGCCTCACGTCACAGATGAGGACATAGGCCTAGAGAGGTTGTCACTTGTCTGAGGTCACACAGCTAGTAAATGCCCGAGGTAGGATTTGAACTCAGGTCTTCCTGATTCTTAGTACAATGTTCTATTCACTGTGACATCACCTAGATGTCAGATTATGCACCTTTTTTGGGGTGACAATATAGGTAGGCCCCAATTTATGCAATGGATGGTCAAGAAAGGTTTTGGGTAAATGAATTTTTTGCCAATAAAATCACATTTTTCATTAGCTTACATTATCCCTTCGGATACCCTTTTGTTTAATTTCTGGCTCTTCTCCAATGGATGGTCAGGGCTGTGCTGGAGGGTTGATTGTTAAATTTTCAGTAGGATCATTTGCACCTCAGAAATTGGTGAATGCCACAGATCAGGGCTTGATTTATTGTTTTGTTGATTGTTTAAACTTAAGAAAGTGATAGAGAAAAATGTTAAGAATTCAAGCTGAACTTAAAAGTGTGTTGTGGTCCATTTTTCCTCACAGTGAGCTCACTGGTAAACATTTATCAGCACAACCACTGAATACATCCCATGTAAGCTTGCCTTCAATTTCTCTATTTCCTCAGTCTCTTAATAAAAAACATTCAACAGCACCAGAGGAACTGCTTTTGACAAGGTTCTCTCTCTCCTTCCCTCTCATGACTCCAAATAAGATTTCCTTTCATAACTTGAATTTTCTTAAAGTGAAGCAGACCTGTAGGCAACCTCTGTTTCCTCCTCCATCAACAAAACTGTCTACTCTGACAATTCAGTGAGACTGGGGGTGTTTCTCATGTTCCTCCACTCCTTCTCTGGGGAAAGTCACCCCATTCCCCGTACGGCCCCTATTTCCTTTGGTAGAGAGCTAAATCTACTGTTTCCTTCATAGACCAGTCCTCTGGACAGAGGGTTAGATGGTTTACAGGACCTCAGTCATAGATTGGGATTAAGGAAATCTGGATGAAATAGCACCAACTCGTCCCCAAATTTGCTGTGTGATATGGGATAAGTCACCCAACCTTTCTTGGTCTTAGTGTCCTAATGGTATCAAAAGGGAAGATTCTTAACCATCAACACTCCTCTCCCCACCCCCACCCTCACTCCCTACACCATCTGGAGGATAATACATTGCATAGAAGTGGCAGTTAGGTGATGCAGTGGTTGGACTGCCAGGACTGGAGTCAGGAAGACTCATCTTCCTGAGTTCAAATCTGGCCTCAGACACTTACTAGCTGTTTGACCCTGAGCAAGTCTCTTAATCCTGTTTGCCTCAGTTTCCTCATCTGTAAAATGAGCTGGAGAAGGAAATGGCAAACTATTCTAGTATTTTTACCAAGAAAGCCCCAAAGGGGGTCATGAAGAGTTGGACACAACTGAACAACAATAGCAGATGTTGTGTAGAAGAGACTTCATCACTACTAGACAGTCAACATATTATAGGAGAAAGCACTGGACTTAAAGTTAGAGGATCTGAGTTTCAGTCATAACTCTACTACACACTGCCTCTGTGACCTTGAGTGAATCACTTCATGACCCTGGGCCTCAGTTTCTTCATCTGTAAAACAAGCAGCCTGGAGATGATCTAGCTCTGACACTCTGCTCAATGATTAAGGGATGTTCCTGAGTGGGTTCCAAGGAGGCTTCTTAAGCGGGAAGTCTAAAGAGGTCGGTAGCACAAGAAGAAAATAAGATGATCCCCTGTCTGAGAGCAGTGATATTAGAAGGGGGAGCAGAACCTTGGCAACCAGAGTAGATAATCTCAATATCATATGAGCCAGCACATGACAAACTGTTCTCTACCTCCATATGCTACGAGGCAGAAGACCAACATTCTAGGTTCAGCTCCTTCACTAAGTCCTTATGTGACCTTGGACAAGTAACCTTTAAACATTCCTGGTTCATGTCAAAGACACAGTACTCTCTGGGCCCTCATCTGAAAAAATTAGGAGGCTGAACTAGATAATTTATTTTTCTTTTAAATAAAATTATTGATAACTTTTGGTTTTACATCACCTCCATTTCCAAATTCATCCCTCCCCCCCACTCCCCTACTCAGAGAGTCATTCATTATAATAATTGATAATAAAAAGAAAGGAGGTATTGGGGTGGGGGTGGGGGAGCAGTTCTGCACAATTAATAAACATCAAAGTGCAGCTGAAAGAGAAATGAAGTTGGAAGGCTTGGGATCTGAGTTCAAACCCCATCTCTGACACTTACTACCTGTGTGAGCCTGGCAAGTCACTTTATCTCTAGACGCCCATTTTCTCCTCTGTAAACTGAAGGGGGAGAACTAGAAATCTCTTAGAAATCCCTTTTAGATCTCAATCTCTGATGCTGTGCCCCTGTGCCTTTACAGGGTTGTGGTGAAGCAAGATATGATGAACCTGACCGTATAGGCATCAGTCCATACACATAGACACCACCAATCCCGCTTGCCAATTCTGTCAAGGGAAGGATGTGTTCCTCAGGGCCAAGCTTGACTGTTATAATTAAATAACATTCTTTTTTGTTTTGTTTGTTTTTATTCCTTCCATTTACATTGAAGTTGCCAGAATGATTTCTAAGGACCCTTCTGACTCTAATGCTGTTAGGATTCTATACGGGTCAGATTCTATACAGGTCTCTCTGCCTGCCCCCCAACCACCAACGTAGCCTAATAGGGCTCATTACATGTGGATAGGTGGGAAAGAAGGTTTTCTATTTCCTAGGATGGCCCATTCCCATCCCGTCCCAGCCAAAGGTCAGACTTTCTTAAGAGGAGGGACCCAAATAAAAGTTCTCTTGGTACTTGGGAGAGGCAAGAAAGGGTGCCACAGTTTATTACAGTGGACCCTCTGGACATTGATTTTCCATCAAGGAGTCTTGCTTTTATTTGGGGCTGTCTGGAGGGAAGGGTGCAAGCTGGCACCTCCCTTCCACATGCCCCTCAGGTGACACTCTTACCTTTGCCAGCCTCCTATAACACAGAACTATAGAATGTTACAGCTTGAAGGTAGTTCAACTCCCTCATTTTACAAGTCTCTTTAAAATTCATCTCTGGCCGTAGGTAGGTAGTTAAAAAAAAAACAACCAAAAACCTAGATCCATCTGTAGAGAAGGGGAAAGTAGCGATGGTGACCTCATTCAGATTCTGCCCCCCCCAAAACTGAAAACCACATCACCACCACCGCCACTTCCATCCCCCCCCCCCCACCTCCCTCTCAGGTGAGGATGGGAGGGTGGAGAACTGGTTTTAACCACATTCTAGTGAGATGAAGAAAATAAATAATCCAGAAGTCACCTTGGGAACTGCCAATATTTCGACTGGAAAGGGAAAAAAATTCTAGGATAGCAGGGATAGGAGAGAGAGCCGCGGAGGCTAGAAACAACTGGACCAGTTGGAGGGGAGGGCAGAAAGAAGCGTCAGAAGACAGGGGGCAACCACGGATGAAGAGATGAAGAGGGGTTGCAGAGAGGGGAAAGAGATGGAGGAGGAAAACAGTAACGAGAACCGCAGAATGTCAGTATTGAAAAGGGCCTTAGAAAATCTAGTCCAAACCCCTCATTTCAAAAAAGTATCTGAGAGGCAAAGTGGTTTGCTTAAGGTCCCCACGTAGCAGCTGGTAAAGCTAGGATTCGAACCCAGCTCTTCCGATTTCCATCCCAGGGCTCTTTTCCTCTGAGCTTAAGAAACTGAGAAGGGGAGGAGAGAGGATAAATAAATGGGGAGAGGGAGAGTCAGGGAAGAAAAGAAGGGGAAGGGAAGAGATGGAGGGAGGAGGAGGGACGATCACTCACGTCTTCTTGAAGATGCCCCCAAGAGCGCTGCCCAGCAGGAGACAGAATTGCTGCGAGAAAAAAACCCAGGAGATCTGGGGCAGCGAGCTGTGAGTCTGGCAGCGCAGGTCGGACACCGTGGGGCCCAGGAAGCCGATGCAGAGGCCGAAGCTGAAGAAGACGCTCCAGTAGGTGAGCGTGGGCTGCAGGTTACGCCGGAACAAACCCGAGATGTGGCTGTTGCAGCCCATGGCACTCTCCCCCGCCTGCCCCGGCCGGCCGGACTCCCAGGGCTGTCAGCTAAGAGCGCCGAGCGCCTGGGAGGAGGAGCCGGGGTAGCCCAGGGGGCCGGAGCTCGCCCCGCCCACGGGCCCCGTAGGGCCTGGGGCGGGGAGAAGGTGGGGGGTAGAATGCGGGTGCCTAGCGCGGGCTGTCCCTAACCCCTCATTCTGTCCCGCTTCTTCCTGGTGCGGGCGAGAGTCCCGCCCCGCTCCTTCCCAGGGACCACGGACTGACAGAATGTCAGAACTAGAAGGGATTTTAGAGGTCCTGTAGTCCAATTCCCTCATTTTACAGATGGGGAAACTGAAGCCCAGAGACATGTGAGTTGCCTAAGGTCACACAGCTCATTAGTGACAGAGGGCGAACTAGATTGCAAATCTCCTTACATCTCTCCAAATGTTGAATTTGTCCTTGGACCTATCGCATTGCCCTAGCAGAGTCTAAGCTTCTTGAGGGCAGGGACTTTTTCATTTTTGCCTTTCCGGGTTCCTGGCGCGGCGCTTTGCGAAGGAGGAACATAATAAGGGTTTGTTGAACAGAATTCAGGTTCAGCCCCAAGTAACCTCTTTAATGCAGCCCTGGGGTTGAGAGGGTCCTTAGATGCCATACCGCAGCTGAGGAAACTGAGATCCAAGTTGATGGGAGGGAGCTGGCTACTCATTCTTCGTCCGTGGAAGGAGAGCCCAGAGGCTCCAAGTCTCCAACTACTAGGCTTGGGTGAAGCAACCTTAAAATAAAGCAGAAGCATTTTAGGCCGCTACCTTGTCCCGCGGGGATGCTCATGGAGTTGAGAGGACTGCAGCTAGCTATAGGCTTTCTAGAATCAAGAAAGTCTAGAACAGATTTCATCCCACTCGCCGCCCCGAGCTTCCTAGAGTCCGAAAGGGGACTGAACTGCCCCTGGTCTCCTTTCCCACACTCCTGGACTGGAAAGGAGTGCTGGGGAGAGGAGAAAGGACAAGGGCTTAAGACTCATTATCTCTTTCCCATTCCCTTCCTCTAGAGTGGAAAGCTGAGCAAAGTCACTAGAAAGATACCACTGGGTGGGGAAGAGTCCACTTTTCCAAAAGGAAGGGGACTTGGTAAGATTTAAAGAGTGTTGAGTAAAAACAAACAAACAAACAAATAAATAAATAAATGGACAGATAACTAGATAAATAAATAAATAGCCTTGAGTAGAAGAAAGCCCTGGACTTGTAGATAGAAGCTCTGGACTGTCATCTTGGCTCTAGTATTTACTATCTTTGTGACCTTGAAAGCTTCACTTAACTTCCCTGAAGCCTCAGATTCTCCATCTTTAAAACAAGATTAATAATACCTTCACTACCCACTAACCTACTACTACCCACTAACACTAACCTAACCCTACCCTATACTACCCACTGACCCTCACAAGATTGGTTATAGAAATTCATCTTCTTTTTATTTAGGAGGGGGAGGGGGCCAATTACATCCCACTTATAGGCAGATTAGATTAACAATAGTGATCCTCTCCTCGAGGGAGAACATACAAATGGCAGTCTTGGCACTTTACAGAGGAGTCGGTTAAGTAAGGGGTTAAATGATTTGCCTCTGGACACTTCACTTAGTTAGTGGCACAGACTGGAGTCCAGGTCTTATGACTCATAGATTATAGAACTCTGGGTCATCTTGGAGGTCAGCCAGCTCCAGGAGGTGGAAACGGGAGAGTAGAGGGGTCAAGTGACAAGGCCAGAGTCACACAGAGTTATTAGCAGACCCAGGATCTGAGCCCAGGGTTTCCTGACCTTTAACTCAAGGTGTTGGCTCTGTCCTCTGACCTCTTGGTGTTTGGAACACCATTATCATCATCACTGGTTAAGGATCTGCCTGCACACTGGTCTTTACAGACAGAGCCAGATGGGCAGTGAAGTATTGACGTTGGACCACAAGGTCACATATGGATACCTCATGCAGTTTTACATAAATATCTACTCCAATCCAGTTGCAAAATTGACCTTCCTGAAGTGCTGGTCTCATTGCTCCTCATTACTCCCCCCCCCAATTCAATCAACTCCAGTGGTTCCCAGTTACCCACAAAATCAAATAGAAAATCATCTGTTCGGCATCTAAAGCCCTCAACAACCTGACCCCTTGCTACCATTCCAGTCTTCTTACATCTCACACTCTACCATGTCTGCTGTGATTCAGTGACCCTGGCCCCCTTTTGGTTCCTTAAACTCCATCTCTGGACTCCAGCCATTTTTACTGGATGTCCCCTAGGCCAAGGACACTCTCCCTACTCATCCCTGCCTCAGTTTCCCTGGCCTCCTTTCACTCTCATCTAAAATCCTATCTTCTGCAATTGGCTTTACCCCATCCCCGTTCATTCCACTGCTTTCCTTCTGTTGATTGTCTCCAGTGTATCATGTACATATCTTTGTACATCTTTGCATGTTGTCTCTCACCGTTAGACTGTGAGATCAAGCACTGTCTTTTACCATTCTTTGTATCCTCAGAGTTTAGTGCAGCACCTGGCACACAGTAGGTGTTTAATAAATGTTTGTTGACTGATTGTTGATTGAAATGCCACAAGAAAGGAAAGGCAGTGAGCTGTAGGACTTAGGGCTTGCCTTGGGGTAAAGTCCTCTCTCTCACACATAATAATTATGTGACGAAGGTCAAGTCATTTAGAATCTCAGTGACTCCAGGTAACTTTCTGATACTGTAAATTATGGAGAAGTGACTGAACTGAATCTGTGTGGGGGGGGAGGGACTTTCCACTCTGATATTTTCCTATGTGAAATCATAAGTCCAGCCTAATCTCATGAGGAACACAGAGAAAGAATAGATCCTGTGATTATGGGCGTAAACATGGCTAGTACTTGTCAGTACTGCTGACTGACTGGTCAGGTGCCCAATGCCATCTCCTTCATGCCCCTTCTTCCCTTTTCACCTTCCCCCCCAATGCTTCCTCTGCACACCTGGAGATGGTGATAGTAGGGGAAAAACAGCATGGTAATAGGGGACCACCAGCTCTTCCAGCATGCATAAAATTTGTTGAATTAAATAGAATTATATTGCCTGGGTTTTGGCAGGAATGGTATAAATTAATTTCATCTGTTTCTAGGAGAACCTTGGGTAACCTTAATTCCTACAAACTATTTCTTCCAAGGTCAATAGGATCATAGCATCAAGAACTGGAAGGGGTCTTAGAGATCACCTGGTCCAAATTTTGCAAAGCAGGAAACTGAGGCCAAGAGAAGTTGTGACTTGCCCAGGGTCACACAGCTAGTAAATAGAAAAGCCAGGATTCCAGCCTGAGTCCTCTGGCTCTAGTGCTATTTCCACGTCATATTGTCATGGTTTATCATAGCTATTTCAGACTTCATTTCTGTCTGTAATCATCACCAGGAGGTTGGCAAAGGGTACAAATGATTCTCCATTTTACAGATCGGGGTGGTAGAGATTGAGACTCCCCCCATGCAGGGGTTAAATGACTTATTCAAGTTTGTTTACCATATCAGTGGTAAAGCTGGAAATTAGGCTTCTCTCTGCCCCTCAGCATGCACTGTTTCCACAGAGTGAGTGAGTAAAACTAAATGGAACAGATTCTTGGAGCCTTACAAAGATGGAAATAGCCTCTGCCCTCAGGGAGCGCATAGTCTAGCAGGAAATAAAACATGGGCAGATGGATACAGCAGCTAGGAGGAGGACATGGGGGTGGTTAGAAATCATTCTGAGAGCTGGGGAATGGATGGCCCCAATCTGGGAAAACTTCCCGGAGGAGGTGGGATTTCTGTTGTGTTAGAAAGCAAAGACTGGATGGACAGAGGTCTTGGTTTCAGGCTGTGGGATACCTGGGCAGGATAGTGGGAGGGTTGGGAATTCAAGCTGTTTCTTCCCTCTTTCACTAAGGCTTAGTGACTAAGCCCTGTCATTTAAATGTATCATTATCCTATCCTATCCTGCTACATGTATCCATCATATCACCATATTAGACTGTTATCAGATAGGAACCAGATCTGTGAATTCATTGGTATAGGGAATTCCCTTGTGAGGAAACTTCCTCTGCCAATGTAAGTCAGTAACTTCTCAATTTATAGTTACAGAATATTACCTGGAAGTTAAATGACAGAGTAGCGTGGAGAAGAGGCAAGAACTCAAAAAATCTTCCTGACTTCAAGGTTAGCTCTCTGTCCACTGTCTGATACTTCTCATATTATGTATTATACTATGTCATATCGTTTTGCATATAATATGACATAAGGTATATATTTTATACACACATACACACACACACATATATACATATGTCTTTGTATGTAATACATACATATTAGTAAGAGATAGAATAGTTGTCCTCAACATCAAGACCTGGCATCAAGACCTGTTTCTTCCAAACACTGGATGTGTGACCTTTGGCATTTAAGGCCCTAAGATTATAAACTGCAGAGAAGGTACAGATCTAGGTTAGCAGAGGAAGTTCCTCATCAGAAGAAGCTCCTTAGACTGATGAAATAACGGAGCTGATCAAAAAAATTATATTAATGACCATATAGCGAGTCAAGTCAACAAGTGCCTTCTGTGTGCCAGGCTAAAGGCTGGAGGTACAAAGAAAGACAAAACACACTTACATATACATATGCACACGAATATGTATGTATGTATATACACACACACACACACACACATATACACATATATACATATGCATATGCACATCCATACCTATACATATTTGTGTACATATGTATTATATCTATATATTACATATTTTATATGTGTATGTCTAGATAGGTAAATAGATAATCTCCTTTACATATACGTGTGTGGACACTTATCCCTTCCAGTCTTTTTCTAATGACCTGGAGGTGACCTTGGGTTCTACAGGCTTTGCACTTTGCTTTATTGTGCTTCATAGATATCGTGGGCATTTTTTTGTTTGTTTTCTTGCCAACTTGGGGAGAGGGGGGAGGGGAGGGAAGGAGGGAGAAAAAAGTTTGGAACTCAAAATCTTATAAAAAGTGAGCGTTGAAAACTTTCTTTACATGTAATTAGAAAAAAAATACTATTAAAAAAACAAACAACAAATTGGAGATGTATGCCAACCTTGTGTTGTGTTGGTGCCATTTTTCTGATAGCATCTGCTCACGTTG